TATACCATCTTTTCCGCAAGCTTATTGTTTTCTGTTTTGGTATTTAATTAATAAATTAAGATCCATTTTTACATCTGGTGATCCGATTATTTGGCAATCGCCAATGTCAGTCAGCAGGGTTTAAGAACATCCGTTAATTGTTCGACCTGCTAGTCAAATGCGTTTTGTTAGAATATACTTTTTCACTTTTTTGATCTTTTGGAAAATGTTGTTTGTATATATATATATGTATATATATATAGATATAAGAAGATGTGGGCCCCAAAAAATTACTAGTGTAAAACCATATATATATATATATACATGTTCTATGGTCGGGTTGTTGTCTCTTTGACACATTCCCCATTTCCATTCTCAATTTGATATATCGGACCAGTAAATCAGAAGATATCAGGCAGATCGTACTTCTATCTTAATTGTAAAAAAAAACGAATAGAATGAGATACACAGAGTTATAAAATATGTGATTTGAATTTAAAAAAAAAGAATTGAAAAAACTGCAGTGGCGAATATGTAAAATGAAGCAACAATTGTAGAAAAATATTTAAAAATTGATTACAATCAAATGAGAAGAAATTATAAGGCCCCTGTGTTGTGCCCCTTGAATTCTAAATCATACTATACATCTTACTTATTTTAAAGTGTGCACCACATTTTTTATGTTATTTCGAATACACCTTATCGCTTTTTGTCCGCCATTACTGGCCATCACACAGGTTCCCGTAAAATTTTGACGTCACAATACAAAATATCTGACGCCACAATGGAAAAGTGATTGTTGTATGACGTCAAAAGTTCAAGCGGGACAGATTCTCGGGTCAGCCGGGAATAGCGATAAGGTGTATAGACAGAAAAAAATATTACAGTCATTTCTTATAATTTAATTCTAAATTCCATTTTAAACCGGAGTAAACCATGAAAAAACGTTGATGACGTCACGGTCACATGCCAAAATTATGTCTATGAGCTGATAAACAAAACAACGTCAGCCAATCAGAAGACGCGTTACATCCAAAATTAAATTATATATCTGTAATATTGATTCAAATTTTTTAAATTTACAGTGCAAAAACTTCTTAAATGGCATCATTTTGAGATCTTTTTCGTTAATATAGACCTTATCACTATTTGGGAATCTGCACCACCTGACCCGAGAATCTGCGCCACTTGAACTATTTACGTCATACAACAATCACTTTCCTTTGTGGCATCAGACATTTCCCATTATGACGTCAACATTTTATTTGAACCTTTGTGATATCCAGTAATGGCAGACAATTAGCGACAAGGTGTATTAAGATTTGAACCACGGCTTCACCCAAAAAATATGTTGCCACAAATGTGATTTATAAAATATTAAAAGTATTGCGTAATTCATTTTTTTTCTCCATTTTTACAATTTCGGGAGATAAATAATAGCTCTTATTGTACCCCTCATTTAAAAAAAAAATATACATCTAAAACATTGAAAAAGTTTTACTATGAATAAATGGGGATGTAGGGTCACGATATGTCATCAAGACAGTAACTTAAACGACAAAGAAAAAACCCTCAGATACATCTAGCGTTTAACAGTAGGCAATGGTGTATACAATATGACAACCTCAAAATCTCCAACTGTTATTGAAACATAATAAAACCATGACCATGAAAATCTGCTATTAACACCAGATTCCACAAAAGAAGGTTCAAGACTTGGAGAAGGCACATGAATATATAATTGGCGGAATTAAAAAAAAATAAATCTCAACTCTTCCCCCCTCCCCCCCACCTAAACCGCCCCTCCCCCACCCCTCTTTTTTATATCTTCATCACCAATGGTACACAAAAGAAAGTACAAGAAATATCAGTACAAGAAAAGCACTTAACTCTATAAAAGCGGAATAGTAGATAAAAAAAAGTGCAAGCAAAACAATTATAAACAATACCGTATCAAAAAAGATGGAGGCTGATGATACCTAAAGGACATTCAAAACTCAGTAACAGAGAAACTGACAACGTCATGGCAAATAAACCCACTAAGAACAAACAACTGTCTACAAAACACTACATAGATAACTAAAGACTGAGCAACACGAAGCCTACCAAAAACACGGGAAAGAAAACTAAGGTGCTTAACCTGTCGATTTGAAGGAAGTCGTGTCGTTAATCCTACTCTATATTACTATGCACATGACATGCAATACAAACTCGGGTCGATGTTTAAGGAAAACAATACAGGTATAAGTATCAGTGACGGGCTTTATTTCTTAATATATTATGAGTATACACGCAATCGTACATTTGAGATTAAAGAAATGCAAGCAAGCTATGGTAAATATGTAACATACGTTAAAATAGTGAAATTTGATATTATAAAAAATAGACACGATGATTACTGAATCCCCAATTATCGCTTCTTTCTATTTGTTTTGGGATTAATTTACAGACTAAATACAACCACTTAGCATTTTCTATCACAGCTTCCGAAAGAAATAATCTCTTTATAATCAGTTGAACAACAATGTATTGTGTTAAATGTCAAATACGTTTTGTTAAACGGTTATTGATAGAATTTACTAAACACATATATTGTCATGCAATACGTGTCTAAAACATAGAGCATCAAACATGAAAATACACTCCAACAAAATTATGAGGAAGAACTACTGAAATCCACACTACACAAGTTTGACGGTCCCTACACGAATTGGTTGACCGATACGATGTGTCGGTGTTTCAACTCACTAGCGACGTGTTTATGCGGTCTTAGATCTTTCTTGATATATTAGTATAATCGCCTGATCTGTAATTTTACGAATTTTGTCCTATTTCCGATTGCGACATTTTGACTGAGTGTGAATTCGCATGGCGGGTGATGTATGCATAGTAGGAGACGCTTACTTTGTTCAAGCAACTTGTCTCGCTACATTTAGAGTTTATGCGACTCCTCCTGTTGTGTTACCATGATTTGTCGCTATGACTTAAAAAAAGAATCGAGTTTGATGCATGTTATCATACTAAATGCGTGAGAGAGGGGAGAGAGAGAGGAAGAGAGAGAAAACTGCGTTTATCTGGTCCCTCTTTTTGAAACTGAATTTTCAGCATTGTCCCTCTGGTCTAAACTAAATGTATGCTATGACAGCGTCCACATGGTATAATGACTTGTAACAAACCCAGAAAGGTCAATTCATAAAAGTATCAAGGTTAAATGAATAAATTACTTTAAAACCCACACAGTGTATGAATATCATGTGGAAGTTTGATAGATTGAAATATATCCATATTATCAATAATTTGAACAAATATAATGTGCGTGTATGAACAACATAGATGTGAACTAAACATTATCTAAAAAGCAACCGAGTAATACATGTTTACCACAAACAAGAACGTCTGGAAAGAATACGACATTGTTCTAACATAAAATTAATTAAATAAATGTACTGGGACTATAGAGTCACAAACAGCTACTGATGGAACAACTGATAAGACATCTGACGTAATACAGCTATATATGTATACAAATATATGTGTACATGGATAAACAATCTATTTCTAAACTGACAAACTAGCTAAATCTACAGATTCATGAAGTTTTATCAGGATTTAATTATCAACAAAGTTTTATTTTGCCTTTTTTATCCATTTAATTTGAAGGGATAAAGAAAGTAGGAGGATAGTGGAGTATTCATAATTGTGTTGGCATGCTTTTAAAAGTACAATGTACATGTATGAATGAAAGGAGAGATGTGACACCAACCTATAAACGCGTTTAATACAAAGTAGTTATTTATAGATTAACATAGGTCTTTGATAATAGATACTTGTTTATAATATAATGCAAGCTCGAAATCATCCCGAACCTGGTATGATTCACTCATGAGGATTAAATCAAATTCAACAGAATACCAAAAATCGGTCAGTTTTATTTCTTTAAAGACAATCAGAAATAAGAAAATAAATGACAATTTTCAAGACTGGAGACATAACCATGTACACTAACATGATGCAGGGCAAAACCAGGTTTGTTAATAAGAAATGTATGTAAAAAAGTCAACGAGACAGTAACCCAACACCAAATTTATGAATACTCCACTATCACGTCCTCTGAAATAAACAATTATCTAGTAGGATATGAAAGGAAAAACGTTATAATGACACCAGATGATTGGACCAAGTTTTCTTGTAAAAAAAAATGTCCTTGACGAAATTTTTGATGCACAACTTAGATAGTGACAACATGATTTATGTTCATGAAAATTTCCCATCTGCTTCTATGTCATTAAATGAAAAATAATCTCGCTTCAGAAAGAAAAATGTATGTGTAAATACATAAAATATTGAAAGCAGCCCTTTGTACATAATTGTCCAGATTTAATGTTACAAGATCATAATGCAAAATCTAAATATTATGGTTTTATACTTTTAGACTAACTATTTATTATCTTAGGGTTATGTTCTATTTAGATCAGCAATGTTCACTCCAGACACAATTTATTTATATAGTTCACAAGTTAACGTGCTTATCATGTACTAGTATACATAAAACAAACAAAGAATGCACATAACTTGGAATTAACACTCCAGGGATTTTTTCTTTGATTATTTTTGTATAATCTCAAACCATGATAATCAATTAAGCTATGAAATCTAACTTGTAAAATATTCATGAACACAAAAATAAAATATAAAGTACTTTCTATAAAGCAAAAGTCAACACGCATATAATTCTATTTCCGTTGATTATATTCTTTATAACTTCTGCATTAAATCAATTATACTTTGAAATTGAAATGACAATTCAAATTGAAGTTTGCAACTTATTCAAAATGTATGTAGATAAAACATATCGATAATGGCAACTTGTAAATATTGTGACAAAAACAAGTGGAAAATCATTTCTAACTAATTTTCTATGTTCGAATTTAACAGCTATTAAAAAAGCAACAAGTCACGTGTTGATAAATCAGAAACATCAAGTAGCATGAGCCAATTAATTAAAAAAATCCTCAACTTACCTATGTTTAAGGTAAAGTGTTGATCTGATGCAGTCATAAAATGACAGAAAGTCAACAACAAGATCGCCGTGCTCTTCATCTTCAGTTAATTATAATTCTTCAGTAATCATCTTGTCAAAAACGAAAGTAACATAGTCCTCTCCATTTAAATGTTAATTTGTTAATTGTCAACTTTTTATCATGGTAGTATCTGTAATAACTGTAGTATAATGATGATTTAGACTGGATTGCTGTACGGTCGATGTAATGGTCGATACCAACACACAGTCGGACATGTAGTCAGCTTGTTAAATGTTAGGATTATAATAATGAAGTTTTATTTGTTAAAATAAGATGAAAGACCAATCAGAAAATTATATTTCCAAATGCAGTCACTATCCAGGGATTAAGTAATTAGAGTTGTGGCGACTTGATCAATAATTTGAAAAATATTCTATAGCTTTCATTTTCTGTGTTTTATATAATGTATCTCTCCGTGTGAAATAAATATGCACTGGGGATATTAATTGTATCTTGAATGCTCATTACATTGGATTTACGTTAATGAAGTATTGTTTCTTGGTCATTTGGCATATGCAATTAATAAATGTACTTTTTTTTTAATTTTGCAATTCGTGTTTTCTATTTCTATTTGCATTTAACAATATTTGTTTTTGTTACACATTTATTTGTTTAGTATAGATTTTTTCCATACTTGCAAGTGCATACTTGATTGCGAAAATGATATAGGATAATTTTTTCATTATCAATATAGTTTTTTTACTTATGAATTTCTTACTATCCTGTACGAATGAAAAATTGTAAAATTAAAGACTGATCTCCGTCAGTAAAAGAGAGAGTTATCATGACAAAAAATAAATTCTTGTCTAATTAACACCATTAACGACCAGTTTTCCTAGATATTGTCGTCTCTTTAGAGCAAAGTAACCTTTGTTGATATCGCTATACATATTTATATACTTTACATTTCAGATTATATCTAAAGAAAAATTAAACATAACATCGGACAACTTCAAGTAAAAATGTAGCATTCCAACAAAACTGAATAACCACAAAGTGTATTCTCCTACATTTGATACAAAGATGTTGTCCTTACCAAGAAACATTTCTTTACAGTACAGTGTAGAATACATTTCGGTTAGTATGTTATAGTTGGACTGTCATTGTATTGAGCTTGCTAGTACTTTCTGATCGAATATAAGACATACTGTATCACGTTTCTTCAGAAGTACCAAATGAGATGTCGAATATAAGACATACTGTATCACGTTTCTTCAGATGTACCAAATGAGATGTCGAATATAAGACATACTGTATCACGTTTCTTCAGAAGTACCAAATGAGATGTCGAATATAAGACATACTATATCACATTTCTTCAGAAGTACCAAATGAGATGTCGAATATAAGACATACTGTATCACGTTTCTTCAGAAGTACCAAATGAGATGTCGAATATAAGACATACTGTTTCACGTTTCTTCAGAAGTTCCAAATGAGATGTCGAATATAAGACATACTGTATCACGTTTCTTCAGAAGTACCAAATGAGATGTCGAATATAAGACATACTGTATCACGTTTCTTCAGAAGTACCAAATGAGATGTCGAATATAAGACATACTGTTTCACGTTTCTTCAGAAGTACCAAATGAGATGTCGAATATAAGACATACTGTATCACGTTTCTTCAGAAATACCAAATGAGATGTCGAATATAAGACATACTCCTTCACATTTCTTCAAACGTACCAAATGAGATGATGACAAGAATTATAAATTCGTATTAACTAATCAGTGTTCTATCCCGTAATAGGGCACAGGACGTTTGCGCAAATGTCTATTAAAAAAAGCGCAAATGTCCTACAATAAAGCGCAAAATTCCAGCGCCGCCGTAATAGGAGTCAATATATTCTTAACCAGATTCTATGTTATTGTAAAGCGCCCTTTTCAAACGCTTTCAAATAAATTTGTCTATCAAAATTAATTGACATATTTGTTTTTAAATATCATAAATTCGGTGGTATGAAACGAGGTGTCGATAACTCCTTGAGGATACCACCCATAGTCACCAGCAGATCGGAACTTGCATGATTTAGCTGGTACTTTTATTTCAGTTGTAAACTATGATGGGCAGTTTGTCGATTCTTTAGGCAAAATTAACGTTTCACTTAATGTAATTCTACATCTTTTCGAGACTTATTTGTTGACATTGCAAAAGGGGTTTTCTTGCATGTATGATGACTTAAAAAAAATCCTTTGAGGTGTACTGATTGATATTTCAGTCTTTGAAAACATGCATGGTTTATTCTATAAAATTATTTTTGGATTTAAACTATCTTTCAGTAACTGTGAGTATACTTAAATCACTACTTTGCCATTTCATGTTTTTTTTTGTGCTCAGTACCGATCTGACGAATTAAGTCCTTTTCAACTGAGTTCAACAGTTTGTTATAATGTTGCACTATTACGCAACTTTCCCAGGTTATTGTGAGTGTTCCCCACATTATGTATGTGTCTGTTCCAAGTTAGTTGCCAGTATTTCCAATGGTTGCCGTTGATGGCGTTATCTCATACTATTTTTGAGTTTAATGATTTTTGCTTAAAAAAATGTGTGTCCTTTCATAGTAGACTTGTTCCTTTACTGTTCCGAATCACTTTTTATGGCCAAACTCAGTAAAGGACCGTCTAAGCTCTATTAAATTGATAAATTCAACAACACTTACCGTTATCTAGATTAGATTTTTGCTTGAAACAAGGAATGAGCTGTCACATTGATAGCAAACTGGGTTTTCTGTATTCTGAATGGCGCTTTCGGGCTTTTTTTACCAGCCACATTCTATGCATATTTTCCAATCTACCAAGGACCATAACTCGTGAACGGCAAAAATGAAAATCGTCAATATCAAACTTGACCACCATTTTGTCATCAGTAACAGCATATTAAAATTTCAAGAGCATTGGTTGGACGTTTCATAAGAATTTGCACAGAAACGACATAAAGTGCAATTTTTCAGTCTATCAAGAACTGCGAGTCACAATATGAAGCTTTTTGTTGAATGAGCACAGCGAACGAGTTCAAAAAGCCTTCTTATTGTGTCGAGCAGAAGATATTTTACAATATAAATATATTGAAAACCTGATAATCGATTTATCGGATTGTATTTGTGCAGTTTGCATGATAGAAACAAGTGTTGTATTTGTTTCATCAGCAAACCGGAAGATGACTTAATAATTATGGTTCATTAATCATGATGTCGGTGATATGTCCGGGTCAAAGTTATTTTTGCCGGGTTAACGTATTTGACGTCACAAAGCCGTGATACGCAATTTTATGAAGAGCTGAGCAGAGTGATACTGACAGTGGGAACACCGATAACAGTTTATAACTGAAATAAAACATGTGTATTGAGGCAAAATGTACAGTGTATATACATGAACAATTTGATATTAATGATGTGTAGATGTGTAAAAACCTTAAGTGACATAAAATACCAAGACAAATTAAACCCAAAAGCGCGGTACTTTTTGTATGGCTTTAGCGCATTAAATGGTTTGGTGTAGATGGCATCTCTTTGATATGGTCTACATGAATCGATTGCTCTTCGATGAGGTGAAAACCTTAATATACCTTTACTTCTTTTTTTGCACTGTCATTGCTTTAGATTCCTTTTATTCGAATATTTCAAAGATAGTCATATCAATTTACATAATATTAAATCCTGCAATTTGTTTAATTTTCGCGGGATATAAATTTTGCGATAGACGATTTTCGCTTTAATAGCGAAACTACCAAAAATACATCCCACGAGCACATTTTCAGTTGACAGTAACTAGCTTTTAGTATACATTATGACTAAAAATATTCTAAAGTGTGGCTAACTGCTACAATGATAAACTAATTTTTGCATATTTCCTTTAAACAATGGTAACAATATTCCATGATTTAGAGGAAGTTCGTAAACTGTTCCATCATATGTGAACCTGCGAAAATAAGACGAAGCACATGCCGTTTTTACTCTTCCTCAGAAGGGAGGGGTTATATGTATAAGGAAAGTTATAACTATTTTATCCCTAAGATGCAATAATTGTACTAATTCTATTGTCCTTTTATAGTTTTATTGATTTCATGGATAAATGACTTAAAATTTGATGTTTGCTGTCAAAAATGGTTAATGTTTATAAATATTTTTTTTGGGGGTGGGGGTAAATCAAGTTAATCAACTGCATTACTTAAAAGAGCGAAAAAAAAAAAAAAAAAAGAACGATTTAGCATCTACATTGTGATATATCGTGACTTTTGTTCATATCTTAATTTCAACAAGAAGATATAAAAATCTGTCATTATTCGTAGATTTTCTTTTGGCCATGGTGTTTGTTTTTCTTCGACTTGTGATTTTATTACCCCTTGGTTACTCCTCTATTTTGAAAAAAACTGCGTTTTGTATAAACAATGTATTAAAGAGTCAATACAAAAATCTAAATCAAAACAAAAAAAAATCAAAACCATAAAGAGATAGCGCCAATTTTCTGAGTTTATTTCCATTTTCGAAGGGTCACATATATACTTAAGTGTTTTCACGACATGTTGCGTAAAAACAGCAATTTTGATAGAATTTGGGAAAATGTACGAGAAGGACACACTTAACCAAATATAGATTACCATGGAAGTATTTCTTTAATTAATTCTATATTTTCACATTCAGATTCAAATTAATTCATTTTTGTTTGCGATGTCATTCACTGCAAATGTTTACATAAACACGAATCTTCGAAAATTCTATCTGCAACAGCAATATGCAGCACCGAATAGCGATTTGATAGTTTGAATTATATATTTTTTTTAAATTCTTTATAATTTCATTTGAAATGTACATTTGTTAGAGATACATCAAGTACCGGTACCTTATTCCGGCCTCGTTAAACGTTAGTATATAGCATTTAGCATTTCAGTGATAAGGTTAGTACTTGTTAGTACACAATATACAGTTTTGCTAATAAATAATGTGTAGCAGAATAAAAAGAAATTAATATGATATGTTATAAATCTTAGTTAAGAAGATAAATTAATCTTTTTAAGACTCTTTCATATCTGAATTCCAGTAGGTTTTTAACAACTGTCTTTATTCTAACGTGTGAGCCAAAACAAATACAAAGGGCAACTGGGCCTTCCTTTTTTGTTTGTCAGTATCAAGTGCATAAAATAATGTATTGGGCTAAATCAAAGGTTGTGATTCCCCCAGAAAAGTTTTTTTATAACAAGACTTTTTTTA